ATAAAGAGTAGCTAACTTCCTATTTAAAGCCAAATAAGATCCCTATGCGTAAGACCAATAATTTTGCTTGGAGAAATATTTGTCCTATCCTAACTCAATCATACGCATGACCATTAACTTCTCGTACTATCACTTGTATTACTATTCAATCTTCACTATTACTTCATTTATTTGTATGCTCCACATGTCAAATGAGTTATTGCATGCATGTCTATTTGTCTCCATTCTCTTATTGTAGTAATCCAATAATTCAACTCACATTATTTACTTATTTGAGTGTGGGATTTGGGTCTTCACGGCCCTTCCTCTTTATTTTTTTTATTGAACTTTTAATTAAGTATAATTTACTATTATTTTATTACTAAGGCTCTTCTTAATGGAATTATTTACTCTATAAGTCAGAGAAGATATTAAATCTGATAAACTAATTTATTCATATGTATCTTAACTATTAGACCAGATTTTGGGGCGTTACAGTAAATCCCAGAAACTTCCCGCCTTGAACGGCAAAAGTGCATTTTTAGGGTTGAGCCTCAGGTTTACCTTCTTCATGATGTTGAAGACCTCCTTGAGGTCGCCTGCGTGATTGTCCGCTTTCTGGTTTTTCACAATCATATCATCAACATATGCCTCCATGTTCCTCCCAAGGACTGTTCGGAAGACCTTGGATACCATTCGGGTATAAGTAGCCCCAGAATTTCGTAATCCAAAGGCCATTACTATGTAGCAAAAAACTCCCTCTAGTATGATAAATGAGGTTTTCTCAGCATCGTCCGGGTGCATGGAGATATGATGGTACCCCCTGAATGCGTCCATGAAAGATAGGAGCTCGCATTGTGAGGCCTCAATGTTGCACAGTCTGTACCCTTGTGGTAACGGTGCCTCCATAATCTGGAGAGTGAATGGCTCGGGAATTCTTACATCGTGATTGAGATTGATTTTACGATCCATCTCTCTCTTGAGCTCGTCCAACCTTCTTCTGAGGTCGTCATTGTTATGGCTGGCCTGGGCACACAATGGAGATCAGCGATCTCTTCGGACCTGCCTATTTGCGTTGATATCGTCTCGGAGATCTCCCCTACACGCACTGTGGCGGGACGAAACAGCAGCCGAAAATGCTTCCTCACTATGCTCTGCGTTAGAGGAGAGCCTCTCATGAACAAAAACTCTGATATGATGGGAGCGCTGAGACCTGACCAGCGGAGAGTTCCTCTGTTGTTGAGGGGAGATTTCTTCCTCTCGCGGGATCATAAATGGAGCCCGGTGAGGGGAAGGAGGTCTCCCGTTAGGATCAGGAATGATACCTTGGAAAGCAGTTGTCAAAGTCTCCACTTCCCTTTGAAACGTTGCCAAACTCGCCAAGGATTGCGCTAGATCCACATTGGGGATGTTGTGTCCGGTGCCTGACGTTTGGAACTGCGGTGGCCGCGCCGCGGCGCGCCTAGAACTCCCCACGCCTTGGAGTTGGTTTCTCAAATCGCCTTGAGCAGCGATATTGTCGATGCGCCTTTGGAAATCATTCCGTCGTGACCTCGAACCCTCGTCCTCGATCACGACTTGGTTATAGCGATCATCACCTTGCTTGCTACCAACACGCACTACTAGAATTTTCCCTATTTGCTGCTACCTAATTGCTGCGGTTCTTAGTTAAAACGCAGCAAATAGGCAAAATTTACAAGTATTTGCTGCGGTTTTTCAACAACCGCAGCAAAAAGTTGAAAATTTTGATACATTTTGCTACGGTCATATTAGAACCGCAGCAAATACCTATATTATTTCGAATTTCGAATTTTGTTTTTGACTTTTTGCTGCAGATGTAGGTGAACCGCAGCAAATATTTTACGGTTTTTGATTATGTGCTGCGGTCAGAGGTAAACCGCAGCAAGTACGCCTTTACAACATAAACCTCCCCACACCCTAATCGATCAAACCCTAAAAAAAAACCAATTGATCAAAGCAACATAAACCTCTTCAAACCTCAGCCCCCTCCCAGCGTAGATTCGGGCTCATCCTGGCAACGCTCCTCGCCGACGGCCTCCTGCAGAGTCTCTCAAACGAGAAGCCTACTCGCCGCAGTTGCTCGTTGTTCCCCTCGCTGAGGCAGAACCTCGCCAACACCGACACAGCTCTTCCCGGACTCTGCTGCCACATTTTCCGGTTCCGAAGCACGGTGCCGTCCTGTTTTTGAGGCATCTAGCGCTGGACGCGAGGCATGTGCGATGGTAGAAGGGTTTTGTGAGTACATTTAAACGATTCAAAAAATACTCGTAAATTCGGCTTTTTTCAATAGCATATAATATCTCAGCTTGGCGTGATTATTTTGTGGTCAGTACTTTCACCAATTTATTGATCTCGTTAATCATGTCCAAATCTATTTGGTTTCCATGTTAAACTAAAAACATGTTACAAATTGTTCAAATTGGTAAGCAGTATTTCCTAATACATAGCAGCTAGTTGCTTTCCACCCGCAAACTTAATGAGTACACTTATAGTTTTCTACTGTGATGGAATAGTCAACATATGTGACTTTAGTATGGAGTATGTGAGACATTTTAACTTGCAGTGTACATATAGTGTACACTTATCCATCTAAATCAAGTTAAAAACATGATTCTTTGCATTTAATTATCTTTCCAACTCTATCTGCTTATATGTTTTTATGCTCTTTAAATGCTGATTATTATATAATTAAAAAATGACAGTTTTTTAGAAAGTATCACATTCAACTATTACATTAGGATGTCACAAAACAATATCTGGTCTTGATTTTGATAGTTTTTAATAATTGAAGTAAGTTATGTTCTCATCATGGAGTAGATTTTGATGTAATTGCATGTTTGGTACCACTTATTTGATTGTGTGGAGTAGATTTAAACCAAAGACTGCACACCAACTGTTTGCTATAATGAAGCTTTGACTTACTCTATCGGATAAAGAAACAAGGAGAAGTGTAAGTACCATGGCTACTGCTGAGTACAAAGGCTTGGATTCAATTAGCGTTGCGAATATCAAAGTTTTGGGCATAAACTATGATCTTGCAGTTGAGTTTCATGAAAGACCTGCCACTCCCCAGGTCTGGCAGTCTGTGTCTCCAAGGACTTGCTTACCGCGGAGGCGCGGACCTTTCCTTTGCCATGTTAGTTTTGATAAACTTATAAAAGAAATGTAATTTCTATTGTATGCATTTGAATTTTAGTGTTGTATTTGAATTATGATTATGTACCACTTAACTCTTATGATACATTGATATTGTAGAAATGAATGTTTTCTATTTTATAAATATAATATATTTTGGTCCCAAACATAATCGTTGTGAATTTGGAAAGTATAACAAAATAAAATAATATAGCAATTTTTAAAACCATTTTCGGTGCAATTAAGAATTGTAGAATTTAATTTTTTTGAAATCATATTTGCTGCGGTTCGAATCCCTATTTGCTGCGGTTCTGAACCGCAGCAATAAGTCACATTTATTTTTTATGATAGTTATTTGCTGCGGTTCTGAACCGCAGCAAATACGTTTCCTACTATTTGCTGCCCCTCTATTTGCTGCGGTTCAAAACCGCAGCAAATAGCTAAAAATAACCGCAGCAAATAGCTATTTTTCTAGTAGTGACGGTTGTGACTATTCGATCCAACCATCGTTTCTCGTAAGCTCTTCTCTCAACGAGAGCACCAAATGATGGAGTTTAATCCAACTACGAGAGATAAATCTACGAAAGATATGAAATATATGGTAGCGTAAGGCAGCATTATTATTACTCAGGAAGATGAATCATCGATCCCTTGGTAGGGTATTTACAGGAAGTATATATAGACTTTAGGAGCTAGTATCCTAGGAGGAAATTGATACAATAAATGCTATTACATTCTTGATCGAATTGAATTCCTATCGCGCCTTGGACATCACGCAATGGTTATCTCCTTCCTGTCTACGAATTCATCTTGAATCCTGCCTGCTGCCAAATAGCTATACTCAAATGTTAGCCTGCCACGTAGACCCTAGGAATATCCCGGCCTCACTAGAACTCCGCCCAGGCTCGAGGGTTGCTGTCCAGCCCGGCCTGGCTGTGGGTTCCTATCGTGGGTCTGATTCCCAACTAGGCTCAACGGCTTATTTAATATTAACCCCATTTCAGGGCTTGATCCCGTTAATTAGGCTAATCCCGTTAAGGGGTGATCCTGTTATGGGCTGGATTATGTAATTGGGCCATGGTCAGAGTCCACGGTACCATCACATTCTTATCATGGTGTCTCCATATTACTTGTAGCCCATTGATGTATCTTTCATATGAAACTTGAATCATTTCATTTGGATTTTTCTATGAAAAGATATGCTCAAACGATTGTTAGAACGTAATCCTAATTCATGGCTGCAAGGTGGACGGTGGTCCAAATAGCTGTTTTTTTATGCTTCTTGAGTCCACGTCCGTTCCCGTACTTGATCATTGAGCTCCCTTAACTTCGAAATCACTCCTTTAACGCCTCATAGACCTTCAATGCTTTTCAACAACTCTCCAATGTGTCTCAAATCATCCCGACCAATCCTCCGACGCAGGTGCCATACTTAATTTGCCGATTTTTACTCTAAAAACACCAATTGTAAACCAAAACCCGATAAACTATGATTTGAGTTAATTAGGTGATTTGTGACACATTTAAACTAGAAAAATTAGCTAAAACTAATATCGGCAAGCATAAAATGTGTGTTGAAATACAAACTTATTAAGCTACAAATAAAATTCTACATGATAGTTGACTAGTTTTTCTGGGCGGTGACCGGTTTGGACCACCCGGTCTGGATTGATCCTTGCCTTATGCTTCTTCCGGCCCGGTTTTTACGAAACTTAGCGGCCTAATTCAAGTAGGATACGGGATCCCACTTCCTAATGGAATTTTCTATTGTTACACACTTTCTCTACACACACATACACACTATAAATACCCCAAAAAATAATTTACCCCCTTTCCCTCACCCCTCTTTCCCTCACAGCCCTTTCCCTCATCCCTTTTCCCTCCCCGACGAAGAAAACCCCTCCTCCCAAAGTTTTCGCGCACCCTGTTTCTTTCTCCTTCGCTGACCATCGAAGAAAACCGTCGCCCTCCTCCCCGTCGCTGGCCGTCGAAGAAAACTGTCACCCTCCTCCCCATCGCTGGAAGCTTCTTCTCCGTCCAAGGTTGTTGACGAAAACCGCCACAACCCTCCGTTTGAACAAGGCCGTCGAACGCAACCCTCCTCTCGGCCAACCGCCGTCAATTCTGTGCGAACCCCTTGTCGATTCTGTCTCACTCCAATCCAAAATGGTGTGAACCCCACTTTATTCCATGACCGAAAGGTATATATCCTCTATCTTTGGATTTTTAACAATTTGAGGCTACTTGATGATGTTTATTTGGAGGGTTTATAAGATATTTTTGTTTATGAAGTTTTGGAACCCACCTATTGCTTGGATTTTGATCAATATACATTTATGTGGGGATATGTCATTACTTTCCATGTATTGTCTGTGTAAGGTTAATTTGATGTCTGTTGAAGGACATATGTATTGTCTGTGTGAAGATACATTTGTGTAGTTATTTGTCTGTGTCAACTTATATGTAATTGGTTGTGACTCCATTTGTCTGTGAAGACTTAAATGATTGTCTGTATGAGTCTACATATGTCCATGTAAGTAATATGCTTGTCTGTGTGACTCTACTAAAACAGATCCAAATGAAAAAATGTGTAGAACTTTGGAGAAGTAATGAATTTTCCAATGTATTGTATAATTGTGGTTCACTTCTCCAACCGAGGATCAAATTCCTTAAAATACCTTGGTTAATTTGGAGTTCGGGTACCTTAAATTCATGTGTATTTAAGATTTTTTAATTAACTATTAATTCAACTTATATTAGTTCTTAGTGTTAGCATTATGTTAATAGCTAGCTCTCATCACTTCTCTTCTATATATAGATGATATGAATAGACTCATATGATGTAGCAAGTCAATACTCATATGCCTGTGTGACTTGGTTCTTTGTCTGTATCTAGCTGAATGCTTGTCTGTGTGACTTAACATATGTCTGTGCTTTTATGATTTATTTTATTACAATCACGGGACACTTGGAGAGCGGAGGCAGTATATAATGTTTGTCTGTATATAATGTTTGTGGATATTCATGTTCTGTGGATATAATGTTTGTATGTACACAAAAATAATGTAAATGTAATGTTTGTATGAATTCTTTTATGTCCAGATCCGGTGTTTGTGACGTGATGGTTATGGCATTTGCCGAGTCATTGATGCAGAACTTGCCATTGCAGCCCGAGTATGCATATGAGAACATGGCAGCAAAAAGATGTGCATTTGCAATGACGCTCTGGACTTTGAGGAAGATCCACTTAGACTACTTTGGGTCTGCATGTTTAATGTAGGCTGGGTTTGGTTGTAAAACATTGATGTAACCTTACTATGGAGTACATTTTTTTGTGCTCATTTTTTGCCACCATGGGTTTGGTTGTTAAATGTAGGAGGTTGTACAATGTTACACTAACAATTTGTACAGTGTCCTAGAATGTACTCCCACATATTACCTGAATTGGTATGCCTTTTTGTTTTTGTGGCAAACACTTATTGTTTATGGTGTTATTATATATGAGGGATGCCTTTGTCTGTGAAGAAGAAAAATCTTGTTTGTGCTGTAATACGACTTTGTCTGTGATTTGTGTCGTAGTTGTCTGTGCTATGTATCCGCTATTACATCCACTTACAATATTTTTAATAACTACTTTATGTAATTTAATACCTCAGACTTTTATTACTTTGATTACTACTGGAGCCCATGTGTAATTTTGAGGTGATCAATAAGTTTACAGATTATTAGATTAATCTTACAAACTTTACTTTTTTTATTTTAGTAACTACTCCGTAATTGTTTAAAAACTACTAGTATATGTAATCCATTGTCTATAGCGCGTCTGTGAAGAAGGAAAAATTTACGTATGGTGTAATACCACTTTGTCTGTCATTTGTGTTGTATTTGTCTGTGCTATGTATCCTTTTTTGTATAGTTTGAAAAATAGACATTTTCAAAAAGAAATATGTTTCACAAAATATGTTATATGACATTAATACGACTTTGTTTGTGCTTTTATACGACTTTGTCTGTGATTTGTGTCGTAGTTGTCTGTGAAGAAGAAAAATCTTGTTTTTGTTGTTATCCGCTCTTACATCCACTTAAAATGATTTTAATAACTACTTTATGTAATTTAATAACTAAAACTTTTATTACTTTGATTACCACTAGAGCCAATGTGTAATTTTGAGGTGATCAATAAGCTTACAAATTTTTTTTTTTTTTGCAAATTTAAGCTTACAGATTATTAGTTTAATCTTAAAAACTAACTAGTTGTTTAAAAACTACTGGTATATGTAATCCATTGTCTATTGTGCGTCTGTGAAGAAGAAAAATCTTGTTTGTGCATTTATATGACTTTGTCTGTGATCAGTGTCGTAGTTGTCTGTGAAGAAGAAAAATCTTGTTTGTACTGTTATATGACTTTGTCTGTGATTTGTGTCGTAGTTGTCTGTGAAGAAGAAAAATCTTGTTTGTGCTGTTACATCGTCCATGGCCGCCGCCAAGTTCAGGGACATTGTCCATGGCCGCCGCCGCCGGTTCTCCGTCACGTTTAGCCACCGCTGCCGGTTCTCCCTCAATTTCAGCCGCCACCGCCGGTTCTCCGTCAACTTCAGCCGCCACCGCCGGTTCTCCGTCATCTTCAGCCGCCACCGCCGGTTCTCCGTCAACTTCAGCCGCCACCGCCGGTTCTCCCTCAACTTCAACCACCAAAATCTATTGATTCCATTGATTTTGAAGCTTGTTATGCGTTGAGGTGTGCTGCGGGTACAAGAAAGAAGAACGATGGGGGAGGGAGTGGGGAAAGAGAGGGTGGGTTGTATTTGAGCGTAAGGGAGGGAGAGGGGTAAAAAAATGGCAATTTTTGGGCTTATTTATAGTGTGTAGGTGTGTGTATGAGTTGTGGAGAAATGCTTGAGGTACACACTTTGTGTACACACTTTGTGTACACTCGTCTGTCTATATGAATTGTCTGTGACAGACAAAATTTTCTTAAGAGACAGACGAGTGTACACAAAGTGTGTACACAAAGTGTGTACCTCAAGCATTTTTGATGAGTTGTGTGTACCCAAGCCCAATTGCTTCCTAATGGGGTGCTTCACACTTCGAACTTGGAAGAAGCGATTTCGACTTTGTCCATCCTTTCGCAGCAAAACCTATTTAAACCCTAATTTCTTAATTCTACTTCCAATTTCTCATCCGATAATTTGAATTAATTAATTCAATGGGAAGGGAACTCCCAGAAACCATCTCTTCACCACTCAATTCTCCCGGGGCTCCTGGTAACATTACTAATATCTCGGGTCAGGTCCGATGCGTTACCGAATGGTCGCTGGCTTTGTCTGACTTTACGGAAAAGGGAAGCGAAGAGGCTGCCAGCGATGACTTCTGTCTGAAATCATTACCTCCCGTTCGAAGTGATTCACATTGGTCCCAACCGTGGAGTATCCAGGCAGCAGTGAACCTTTTGGATCCGAAATTTTATGGAGGTCTAGACTCTAAGGGCGCCGAACCTGATTGGACGGACACGTGGAGCCTTAACAATGGTCCCGATCATCGTTTCTCTGCTTCTGTTTCTGGGTTGTCGGGTTTGGATTGGAATTGGGAAGCTAACCCAATGATTAAGGAGTGTTCAGAGTGCAGCTATGATGTGAAGGAGCAAACAGTTGAATTGGAAAATGTACCTTTCTTTTCGAGTATGGATGAATGGAAACGGACAGAGGAAAGAAAAGAACACGCAGCTTTAGGAGATCATTCATTGTTAAACTTTTTCTGGGATGAAAAGACGCCTTTGTCAATGGTATAGTGCTTTCTATTCTACAGTATTTATCTCCATTTTGTTTATTGCTTAGTATTTTAGAACTCTATTTTGAGGTTATTATTAACTAGAGTTGCCGAACTGTTTATAGGGTGGAGGACTTGCTAATTTGGGTAACACGTGCTTTCTTAATGCGGTACTACAATGTTTCATGCACATAGTACCGCTAGTACAAAGTATTGAAGCATATAATCACCCATCTCCTTGTGAGGGTAGGATCTTTGAACTCAAATTTCAGTTTTTGATTGTCTACTATTGCGGTTTTGTAGAGTTTGTTTAGAAAATATATGTTTTTATCTATTACCTGATGTTCCTCTCTTGTAATGTGGTTTTATCATGTATTTTATTAAACTAAAAAGATCAACTTATGCTTCTTATCACAATTTGCAGCTTGTAGTGAAGGGTATTGTGTTCTTTGTGATCTAAAAGAGCTTACAAATGCCACATTGGGTTCCAAGGGTAGCATTATCCATCCCTGGAAAATTGTCAACAATTTAAGTTGTATCCATTTAAGCAGTCGTTAAAAATTTCATATTTGGACTTAATTATTTACTTTTCAGACTCCTTTGTTTACTTAAGTATATTAATCATTAATGTTTGCTAATCTTGGCATTCAAGAGATATGAAAACGCGCATCATGCTTAAAATTGGCTACTTTGGTGATGCTTAATCCATTCAATATCTTCATTTTGTGTTTTGGTTTTTACACACCCATGATGTATCACAAACTTTGTTCCACTTTGATGAGTTGATCCTTAACTTATAGAAGCAGTCTTTTTGTCTAGTTTTCAGAGGTATCAACAGGAAGATGCTCATGAATTTCTCCTGTGTTTTCTGGATAGACTCGAAAGATCTTGCAGTTCTCTAAAGATGGAAGGCCAGCTTTATTCAAATCATGAAAATATTGTGAACCAAACTTTTGGTGGTCTCCTCATTAGTAAAGTAAGAATATTGTGGCTAAAATATACCCTTACATCTCATTTTTTGACAAATTAATACTTGATTCAAGAAACAGTTTGGTCACCAACTTTGAATTTTAGAAAATAATTATAGTCCTCACATGCATATCCGATCTTAAATAAGAAAGTCATTTTCATCGACTCATTAAATTTAGACCCACTATAGGACTCATTTGGACATTAACTACTCTCTCCATCCCAACTTAAACTTCTCACCTGTCTTTTTGGAAGTCCTAGTTAAAGGTTCTCATTTCTATTTTAAGAAATAACCACCATTCTTAAATGACAACTTAATCATCAATTATTAAAAATAATACATCGATAACATCAAAATTATCATCAATGACCTTATTATATTATAGAGAAAGTATAGAAAAAGTACTTGTGGTTGAGCTCGTTTTCAGATAGGGTCACATATTTCATTTTTTAACAAAGTCTGTCATGTTTTAAAGCTCCGTTATCATAAGAGGGTCCTGGCGCCCAACGCTGTTAAAAATCGCCAAAGGAAGTCGATGAACAATAACTCTGGTTTTCAATAGTGTCCGGAAAATTAAAAGAAAAATATTGAAAGGTGCACTTCAACAAGATGACCTCTAGGCCATTTTTTTTTTGTTTACAGCCACCCACATGTACCTTTTCAAAATATACTTGAATAACCTTATTTATCATTGTCTAAATAATTGTGCCATTTTTCAATGAGAAGCTTAAGCAGGGGCAGAGTTAGTATTAGTATGTAATTTGGATCCAATGTATTCTAAAATGAATGAAAAATGTAGAAAATGTTACATTTATTTCTTAATTATTGTGTGTACATAATTACCGGATAGATTAGATTAGAAGACTGGTCTATTAGATCAGATTAGAAGTTGTTGCTTATTGATAAGATTGTAGTTGGTCAGATCCTAAAAAATAGGATCTACTCTGGTAGTTTGTTACTTGTACATCCTGTATTTATACCCCAGCCGATTGGCATATTCAATCAAGGAATTTTATTCCCAAAACCTACATGGTATCAGAGCCTTGAATTTACACATCTCAAATGGTGGAATTCGAACACTCTGACTCATCTCCTTATTCACAAACCAGTAACCCTAACTCCCATATTAGCTCAATGGCAAACTACCAGGCCTCGGTTAATTCATCTATGCTCATCACTGGGCATAGATTGAATGGAAGGAATTACCTAGAGTGGTCACAGTCTGTCAAGTTAGCAATTGATGGCAAGGGCAAACTGGGATACCTAACTGGTGAAATCAAAGAGAAAAAAAATGGTGAAGATGGCTATAGTGTCTGGAGGTCAGAAAACTCACTTGTTACAGCATGGCTTCTCAGTTCAATGGATGCATCAATCGCCAAACCTCATATGTTTATGAAAACTGCAAAAGAGGTATGAGATTCCATTAAAGAAACCTATTCAGATCTTGAGAACTCTTCTCAGATTTATGAATTAAAAACAAAGCTGTGGCAGTCCAAACAAGGAAGTAGAGATGTCATCTCATACTATAATGAGATGGTATCCCTATGGCAAGAGTTGGATCAATGCTATGATGCTGAAGAATGGGAGAGTGCCAAGGATCTGGCAAGACACAAGAAGAGGGAGGAAAATGATAGGGTCTATATGTTCCTAGCAGGAATTAATAGAGACCTGGATGAAGTCAAGGGAAGAATTCTTGGAAAAAAACCTCTACCTTCAATCAGGGAGGTATTTTCTGAAATCAGGGTGGAAGATAGTAGGAAAAAGGTCATGAATAACACTCCAGTACATCATGATGAACCAGGAGAGTCCTCAGCAATGATTGCCAAAGGAAATGAGAAGAAGAAGCCTTGGTGTGATCATTGCAAGAAGCTATGGCACACTCGGGAAACCTGTTGGAAGATTCATGGCAAACCACCCGGAGCAGGACAGAAAAAGGTTGAAAGGGCCCTACATACTGCCATACCTGAGACTCAACAGGAGCCACAAATCAATTCCCAGCAGCCCTCCTTCACAAAGGAACAGATAGAGCAACTCCTTAGCCTTCTAAATACTCAGAAAAATTCCAAACCTGAAACTTCCTCTTGTTCTTATGCCCAGAATGGTACCATTTCATCATTTTTCTGTTCTGGAAAACCTAAAAGTACCTGGGTCATTGACTCAGGAGCTACAGACCATATGACTTCTATTCCAAATCTTATTTTTTCATATAAGCCCTGTGCAGGGGACAAAAAGGTCAAAGTAGCAGATGGCTCTTTTTCAGCCATTGCAGGGATGGGAAATATTAAAATTTCCTCATCTGTAAACCTCTCTAAAGTCCTACATGTCCCTAATTTATCCTGCAATCTTGCCTCTGTTAGCCAGTTAACTAAAGACTTACAATGTCGTGTTATCTTTTATCCTTCTTATTGCATTTTTCAGGACCTGGCATCGGGGAAGATGATTGGCAGTGCTAGGGAGGAAGATGGACTCTATATCTTTGATGAAGGAACTCAATCAAATAAAAGAGGTCAAAGAAATGCTTGTTTGCAAACTGTTTCCTTTTCAAACAATAAAGAGTTGTATTTACTTCACTTTAGACTAGGACATCCTAGTTTTTATTATTTAAAAAAGATGTTTCCTCAATTATTTCTGAATAAAGATGTCTCTATGTTTCATTGTGATATATGTGCACTTGCAAAACATCACAAAAGCTCTTATATTCCCCAGAGTTATAAACCCACTAGCCCTTTTACTTTGGTACATAGTGATATTTGGGGTCCATCTAGAGTATCAACTATAAAGGGAAAGAGATGGTTTGTAACTATTATTGATGATCATACAAGAGTTACATGGGTTTTTCTAATCAAAGAAAAATCTGAAGTGGAAAAGGTATTTAGGGATTTTTATGCTATGGTCCAAACTCAATTCAATACCAACATTAAACTGGTAAGAAGTGATAATGGCCTGGAATATTTTTCTCAAAACCTAAATAACTTTTTTACTGAAAAAGGAATAATCCATCAAAGCTCTTGTGTCAATACACCAGCCCAGAATGGAATTGCAGAAAGGAAGAATAGACATTTACTTGAAGTCACTCGTGCAATCATGTTTTCAACAAAAATACCAAAATATCTGTGGGGGGAAGCTGTTTTACATGCTACTTATTTAATTAACCGCATGCCATAGAAAATTTAAGGATTTAAAAGTCCTATCAATACTCTTCAGCAGTACTTTCCTTCAAACAGATTGATAAGTACTCTTCCACTGAAAATTTTTGGTTGCACAGTGTTTATAAAAAATCCAGAAAAATCTGCAAGTAAGTTTGATCCTAGAGGAACAAAATGTGTTTTTTTAGGTGTTTCTTCCACTCAAAAAGGTATAAATGTTTTGACCCTGCTACCAAAAAAATGTTTATTACAATGGACACTTTTTTTGTGGAAGAAGCCTTTTTTGATACTCATCTTCAGGGGGAGAGATTAAGTGAAGATGTTCAAATAGTGCCATATATTCATGAAAACCTTAATTTTCTTGATATTAATCTGGATGATCATTCCTTTAATGGAAGAATATCTGAAAATGATCAAGAATTAACAACTAATGAAATAAATACAACTGAACCAATTGGAAAGGATCAACAGACAAGTCAATTCTTTGGCAAAGTTTATGAGAGAAGAGTTCAAAATCAAAGAATAGAGGAAGTCCAAGAACCTATGACTGTCTATGATTCTGACCCTATGCCAGCGAATGAAAAAGGTAATGCTTCTAGTCACCTTGATCTTCCAATTGCCCTCAGAAAAGTAAAAAGAACATGTGTTAAATACCCTATCTCAAACCATGTTTCTTATTCTAAATTATCCTCATCTTTTGCAACCTTTACTTCCAGTGTTTCTTCTATTTCTATTCCCTCAACCATACAGGATGCTCTATCTAAACCTGAGTGGAAGAAAGCTGTTTTGGAGGAGATGGAAGCTCTTGAAAAGAATCAGACATGGAAGCTTGTAGAGTTGCCCAAAAGCAAACCAACAGTTGGGTGCAGGTGAATTTTCACTCCTAAATTTAAAGCAGATGGAAGTTTGGAGAGATATAAAGCAAGGTTAGTAGCTAAGGGGTACACACAGACCTATGGCATTGACTACACAGAAACCTTTGCACCAGTTGCAAAGTTGAACACTGTAAGAATCCTTTTATCTCTTGCTGCTAATTTGGACTGGCCACTGCAACAATTGGATGTAAAGAATGCTTTTTTAAATGGAAAACTTGAAGAAGAAGTATATATGAAACCTCCTCCTGGATTTGAGAATAAATTTGGTTCAAAGGTTTGCAAATTAGAGAAAGCTTTGTATGGACTTAAACAGTCACCAAGAGCTTGGTTTGATAGGTTTACAAAGTTCATAAAGAAGCAAGGGTTTAATCAGGCTCAAGCAGATCATACACTCTTCATGAAATTTTCAGGCAAGGGGGAGATTGCAATATTAATTGTCTATGTAGATGATATTATCCTCACAGGAAATTATCATACAGAGACTAAGAACTTGAAAGAAAAACTTGCCCATGAATTTGAAGTTAAGGACCTAGGAGACCTAAAATACTTTCTGGGAATGGAGATAGCTAGATCAAAGAAGGGTATTGTTGTCTCACAAAGAAAGTATATCTTAGATCTTCTGCAGGAAACTGGAATGAGTGCATGCAAACCAGCAGACATCCCAATTGACCCCAGTCAGAAGTTGGGAGATGTTAAGGAAGGAACTCCGGTTGATATTCACCAATATCAAAGACTGGTGGGAAGATTAATATATCTGGCACATACAAGGCCAGATATTGCATTTGCAGTAAGTATGGTGAGTCAGTTTATGCATCATCCTTTCCAAGAACATCTTGATGCTACTTACAGGATTCTAAGGTACCTGAAGAGCTGTCCAGGGAAAGGACTGTTTTTCAAAAAGGGGAACAGTAGGAGGGTTGAAGCCTTTACTGATGCAGATTATGCTGGCTCAATTACTGATAGAAGGTCTACTTCTGGATATTGC